CCCCCACCCCCCAGCTAGTTTAACAAGCTTTCTACCAAATATCATTAAAAATTAATGCAACACAAGGATGCAGTCTACATTAATACAAGAAAACTAAATAATGGCTTACAATCTGTTGGAGCTGCATGTGGGGAGAAGGGAGACTAAGGCATGTTTAGAGAGACTTCTTTTCAGATGGGCAGTTTCAATCATTTGTCTTCTTACCATAATTGAAAATAATGTTGTGTTGACAGGACACTGCAAGTTGAAAAATGCTGACAACAATAAAATATGTTGAAGAATGGCAAATCACTTCTAATTAAATATCATGTCTCTGTGTTACATTTACTGCAGTTATTGTTATCACAAGGATCTCCGACTATGGCTGCTCCAGTTGTATACTACACAGAGGGAACAAGACAGAGAGAGAGAGATTTGAGTTATAGTAACAGTGTCTTGTTTATATTTGGAGCCATAGGTGGTGCCGAGAGTGATACTAAACACAGCGCAGCGGGGGCTTCATCTGGAGGCAATTCACATTTATTGAACCCTCCAAGACCTGACTTGATATTGTTACATCAGCATAGCCTGTACAGTTTTTCCATGATGCGTAAGGTAAATGTTACCATTAATCTGTATATGTAAACTTATTAGTAGGCAGAGGTTTGAAATACACATATACATCTGTTTTGTTTTTATTTCTAATCTGGTTTTTAACTGTAAGCTGCTGGTTTAGTGAAGACTCCACTAATACTTTGAAGCCAGTATAACTGTTTCTGGAAATTTCAGTATTTTTCTTTGTCAGGTGCACTTTGACATAAACCCTACAGTTCGCTTAAGATTTTTAGTCTCAACACTTCAGGGTTAGACTTTTGATTTGCAAACTTATCACCGGGCTTGATTTTTTTTATCCTTGCATGGATAAGGGTGTAACAGGTACGTATTTGTTAGGCCGAGCTGCGATGTTAAGTATCCAGCCCAGTCATGGTGAGGTCATCAGAACTGGAAAGTTGTTGCAGTTCATCATTTCTTTGTTCCATCAATTTAATCTTCTGGCCCCTTTGCTTAATGTGGCCTTAAGTGCACAGACTGCCTCCATTAGGTTCATGAAGTTAACTTGCTGCTTTACAACTTTACTGTTTTCTTCTAACATAAAGTTGAGAATTTTTTCTCAACTTGACTTTTTTTTTTAAAGTCAGTGACAAAAAAACAAACAAACAAAAAATGAAAAAAGGTTCATGAAAAAAAACCTTTGCTGTCAGAGGTGTAACACAATGTGTCAGCAAACCCACATCTGTAACCACGAGCCAGAGATCCTAACTCCGGTTTCTGGGATGTTTTCTATGATTCATGGCCTTTTTTGGCGACAGGAAGCGAGCTGCAAACACACAGCTCCTCCTCTCTGTGTTGCGGATATTTAGCGGTTCAGTGTTTAGAAAGTCTTGCAGTTGACTTGACATTTATTTCATATATTTAAAAATAAATGTCAAACTGAATGAAGGCACAGGACAATAAACTGTGCTGCTGAACTCCATTTGATCCTTCATTAGATCATCAGGTACACAGATCTTGCTTTAGCCTGCAGGTGGAGGGAGCTCTCTGTGGTGCTGAAATATAGTACCGTTGAGTTGTAACTATTCCAGAAAAGATAACCAGAGCTCACAGGATGGCGCATTTATGAGATAACACATGTTTCTGTCACAGCAGCACAAAACAAGCAAACCGGGGGGACAGGAGAAGGGTAAAATGGGTGGATGGGTTTGGCAGCAGGATCACAGGGACAGGCAAAAGGCAAAGTCCATAAACAGATAGGGAATTAAAACTGGGCAGACTGAGCACACAAATGACTGGAAAGCTCCAGGGGAAATACAGCTGGATAGACAGTCTGGTTTAAATGAATGAAACCAGTATAAACACTGAGGGAGTTAAAGGAATTGGGAATGGGTCACTGGATAGATGTGGGAAACCAGGTGAGCACAAAATGACACATGAAAGGCAAAATCAGGCATGAATGAAATAATGAAGAGAAGGAATGTCACAGAAACAGTGTGATGCTGCATGAAGTCAGTGATTCAGTGCTGTTTGAGAACTGGTAGCACTGAGTATAGGTCAGTACTTATAATATGCCACAAGTCTATGCCACCCTATTAGAGCACTTCGCTCTCACTCTGCAGGCCTACTTGTTGTTCCTAGAGTATTTAAAAATAGGATGGGAGGCAGAGCCTTCAGTTTTCAGGCCCCTCTTCTATGGAACCAGCTTCCAGTTTGGATTTGGGAGACAGACACTATCTCTACTTTCAAGATTAGGCTTAAAACTTTCCTTTTTGCTAAAGCATATAGTTAGGCCTTAGTTATGCTGCAATAGACGTAGGCTGCCGGGGATTCCCATGATGCATTGAGTTTTTCCTTTCCAGTCACCTTTCTCACTCACTATGTGTTAATAGACCTCTCTGCATTGAATCATATCTGTTATTAATCTCTGGCTCTCTTCCACAGCATGTCTTTATCCTGTCTTCCTTCTCCCACCCCAACCGGTCGCAGCAGATGGCCACCCCTCCCTGAGCCTGGTTCTGCTGGAGGTTTCTTCCTGTTAAAAGGGAGTTTTTCCTTCCCACTGTCGCCAAAGTGCTTGCTCATAGGGGGTCATATGATTGTTGGGCTTTTCTCTGTATCTACTGTACAACATAAAGTGCCTTGAGGCGACTTTTGTTGTGATTTGGCGCTATATAAATCAGCTGGTCCACTGATAATTTGGCCATGGCTGGCTATAGCATTTTGTACATAGTTTGAAATATAAGAAGGGACTTTCATATTGCATTGTGTTTGTTTGTCTCTATTCGCAATATTTACATGAAGAGAGTATTATTAAGAGGATATTATGATATCTAAAGATATGCTTTTTAACTAATTATGTATATAACAGGTTAAAAAACACACTTGACATTGATAAAAAAAACAATGTCAGTATAACATATAGGCTTTACTGCCTCCTTGCGAAGGCATTTTTTTTCTCAGCTTCTTTTTCCTCAGTTTCAGAAACTTGACTTGACATTTTGGATTCTGATCCAAAAGTTGTAACCTTTAATCTCCTAAGACCTGAACTCTTCCATGGCATGCGTTTTTAATTTCTCTTTGATATTTGGGCATATTGGGACCTGATGAATGTAAAAACAAAGAATTTCCAGATTTTTTTTATCTGATTTTTGTTTCTGAGAGAAATGAGATCCACATATGAGGACATTTGTTTTAAATGTCAATAGAACAGTGGCAGTATAATGTCTTCGTATCTGGATATCAGGCCCAGTTTTGCTCATTTTGTAGAGCAAAATGTATTATTTTGGTCTAGACATCCCAAAATGTGATGTCCACATATGTGGACGCCAGGTCCTAGGAGGTTAAGAGCTTCTCATGCAGCTCTTAAATGTTCTCTCTAAAGTAAAAAGTGAGTCAAGCACTCGAAAACAGTGCACCATGACAACATTGTTTCCATAACAAAGACTAAAGAAAGCAGCAATACAGTAATAGCTTGCATACACTCGTTTATATCTTTGTATGCATCTTTAAAGTATCTTGAACTTTCAATTATCTTGGGCATTAAAGGTGAACCTGACTAGAAACTATATAGAGAGATAATTAGTGAGTGAAGAATAAAGTTTTCTTGCACATATATCATCACGGATCATGCACTGGCTTAACTTTGGTGCTATCTTGATGTTCTATGTGGTGAGCCGGTTAAAGTTTCTCATCATGCAATCATAAATTTGTCTTTTTGATTACACCCCATCAAATATCGCTCTTATGTGTTCGCACACATTGTCTTTTCATTCTGAAAGATATGAAAGGATTATTCTGTTTCCCAGCTGGTTGTGTTTTACTCAGCTGAAGAGCACTGTAGCCGCTTTAGTTGTGTTGTTCTAAATGGGCATGGAAACACTTGTAGGATTGAGCCTACTTATCTGTTAAGCACCAAAACACTTTACTACAACACACCCTCTGCTGCCAGAGTGAAAGGCTCAGAGCAAAAAAATTCAACCCTGCCATCTTCGAGTAATTGCCACCACAATCAAAAATCAGATACGCTATCAAAGAGTTGAACAGACTTTAATTTTATTGGGGATGGAGGGTAAAACAAGCTGACATTTGAATAACCAAACTAACATATATGAGGTGCATAATACGAGAAGAAGAAAGTGGATGGAAAGAGTGCGAGCATGGGCAAGAGGGTGGATAAGAATGATTAAGTTGACTTAGCTGATCCTCTTCCAATATTTATTGGCCTCAACAAATTTGCTGTCGGTGCACAGGCAGGGATAAAAAATGAAGTCAAGGGATCAAGGGAAAATTCAGCAGTCAGATGAATTTTTCAGGTGGAGGGGAACTCAGAAAATGATCATCTGCGTAGCAGAGACAAAAAGGATGCAACAGTTATGAGTTCATTGTTTGCCAACATTGCTTTTGCTTTGTGCCAGTGGATTACGAATTGCTTGGCAGACAGCGGGATGAGCTGTATGTTGATAGGCAGAAACTGAAAGAAATAGAGATGAAGAATGGAAGGCTGTGGAAGAAGTTTTCATCTGTCAAGACGGGAACAAAGTTGCTGAAGGATTTACGAGATAGAAGAGAGCAAAAGGAAGCTGGTAATTGCACAGCTTCTGGCCTCGTGATATTATCTCTTCCTGACATGTGCGCATCGCCCATTGATACATGCAGGGAACATGGGGATGATGCCTTTTCACTGCCTTTGTGCCCCCCTCGTTCCTGTTACATTTCTCTCTGTCTTACTGATGACAGTTGCCAAATGACAAGGATGAATGGTGAAAGGAAGGAAGGAAATAAGGAAGGAAACCACATTACTAAGCATCACTCCTGATTATCTCAAGCATTTCCCCAAAATGTTGAGCTCTGTCTTTTTTTGTCCTTCAACAAGTCATCTTAGACTTTAAACCTCAGGAGCTTCAAAAGGCTAATTGTTACAATAAATGCACTAACACCCTCTGTGTGTGTCTGTCTCTCTCCCTCAGGCTCAGTGTCTCTCAGTGTATTCCTGGTGTCTGTTGCATTCATAGTATGTGCCATTTGGCTGGTAGCTCTGTGTGGCGTCTGCACCTGGTGCCAACGTAAACTGGTAAGTTCCAATACTTATTATTCACATTTTAATGACTATGTTCCAGTATTGACATTTGCTTTAAGTCCCCAGCGACCCCAGCAAGAATATATTGTAGATCTTTAATAGGCATCTAGGAAATCACTGTGAAATGGAAACTAAGATGTTGGGTTTTTTTCCCTGGTGAGTAGGTGGCATCATTTATTCTAGAAATAAACTTTTGGAATAAAAATAGTTGCATAATCACTTTGCAGATTCGTGATTTCTTTTCTTTTCAAGTATAGTAAAGAAAATCTAACCAGATACATCAACTGTATCTTTGTTATATCCTACATATTTAAGTATTTTAAAGGCAGTTGGTACAATTTGTAAGGTCTTGTTTTGGAGGATGACTGGACAAACTGGCTGAGTGTAACATCCGTTTTTTTTTAGGAAGTAAGAAGGTTGTGGAAATTCTGCTGGGCCTTCTCACTGTATGAATAATTCATTATTGGAAGGATCAGCACAGCTTTTTTAATGCCCTGCATAGAAAACAAGATTTTTCATTTATTGTGTGTCCTAACCTTCAAATGAATCGAACGTTTTTGGTGCACAGGATGAAGAAAAAAACCTCATTTTGATATGGTGGTCTTTAAAGGAAAAAAAAGATATATTACTAAATCTTGCACATTTTTATTCAAAAATAAATTAAATGTTATCTGAAATGCAAAATTTTGATATGCAAAAAAAGTATGTGCTCATTTGGATGAACAGAGTGTACTGAAATAATACTCTCATGTGCAAGTTGAATGTTTTCTTTTCACTCCTCTGAGAAAATACATGTTGTGAAAGCAAAATGGCCCCAATACTGACCAGTGAATGAAAAAAAAACAAACAAACAGTGTTTCTGCCTGAAAATTCAAATTAATGTGATTTAACTCTTTAAAGCCTGAACTTTAAAAAAGCTGCCAGAAAATTCCTGTGAGTGTTTAATGAAGCTTCTCACAAGTAAAACAGATTTTAGATATTAATTTGTATATATGTAAGTTTTAATTTGTATAATATTTTCTGCATGCAACGTTTTACTTTTTGCAATTTATTGCTTAAATATGTTCAGTTTATTTTAGTTTTGTGGGGTTGAGGTGGGGAGATGGGGGTGTCACATTGATGAAAACTCAGTGTCAAAAACTCACAAAGACTCGTGTATTAAATATGGTTCGCTTGTCATTGCAGAGTTAAATCAGCATCAACTTAATTAATACTAGAGACTTGACATACAGCTTTCAGTTTCTCACACTGCAGATGAGAGTTGCAGATCCACTGTGACTGATGGGAAAACTTCTCAAGGTTTGGTCCTCTGCCTTATAACTGAGGGTTGAAGCAAGTCTTTCTTTACAGTCTTTACAAACTGTTTCAGAACAACATCTTGTAGCTGTGTAGAAGATTTACAGCTGTATAGACAGTCAGGGTTTCTTCTGAAATTTCTGCAGCCTTAAATTGAATGTGTTTGCCTTAAATAGTGTTGTGCTTTTTCTGCGCCATGGCATTAGAAGCAGGAGAGAGGCTGTATATTTGGCTGTGGCAGCGAACATGAACAGAAACCTCTGTAACTGTGGCCGTGGCTCTGAGCCTCGTGCATCATGGCAGCCGCTCCATGCTAATGATTAATATGCTAATGAGCGTCACTTTGAGCAATTGGCTGCTCGAGTAACTGTAATTCCTAATTTTGATCTGCTGGCATTTCCCCCACTTTGTCCTCTCTTTCCCCCCCTTCATGCATCTCTTTTGTCCTGTTCGCATCTCTCTCTGTTTGAATAGTGACTGTAGCACAGCAATTCATTCACCACGACAAGCTAAGAGTTAACTGAGCTATTACAGATGAAAAACACCTTCTAAGTAACATTTACAATTGCTCACGACTGAGAAACAAACCCATTTCTTATCTTTGTTTACTTTAAAGTTATCCATATCTCTCTGTGTTTTTGTGTCACCTTCTCTCTGTATAACAAATGATCTGGTTTGTATTTGTCTCTTTGTCACCTTATCACCCCGTCCTTGTCAGAATTTCACTGCTTCTCTCTGCCCTTTTCCAGTATTGTCCCTTGCTTGCATCTGTTGCAACTTTAGTTCTCCCTTCTGCTTGCTTTCTATTTCCTTAAGGTTAAATAAATAATCACATACATTATAAGAAAAGAGGAACATACATTGTATATACACATATGTTATGTTGGGGGTGGGTGTGCAGATTTTAGATAGTGAAATCTGCAAATAGTGAGTGCTATTACCTGAAAAAATAGCTATAATCTTACCTACTGATCAAAATTTACTGTCAAAGATTTTCTGTCAGCAGATTAATCATTTCATTGACTGACCTCTTTGGCTCTAGTCAGTAAGGATAGTTCAGTATTGCTTGTAATGAACTATTTTTTCTTTCTCTGAGCGAGAAATAACAAGGACAACAGATGCATTTTAAAGGAAATCACTGGATTACAATTTTTTTTCATAACATAACAAATTCAATGTTTTCCTTTTAAAAAATCAGCTGTTGTCCATTTTTAGTACATGCCCATCCTGCTCTGCTATCTAAAGGTCATTTTAGTTGGTTTTTGGCCATTCCTTGACTCCCAGCAAAAAAAAAAAATAGGGAACCACCCCCCACCATCTCATGATGCTTAATCGACGTAATCAACTTTAATTTGATGCAGTGTGAAAAAAAAATGCACAGAAATAAATTATTTTTTAAAGAATAATTAAATAGATTCAACATCTTTCTTCAACAGAATTGCAGACTGCACAGATGGTATCTTCCCAAAGGAAAAAGTACTATAGCTTACTAGGGTATATTAGACTTAACAGTTACTATATACAGTAATGGACTTCTATACATTTTACATCAGATTAAAACTTTGGGTGTAAGATTCAGATAATTATTTATTATTAACTAGACATTTTAAATGAGAATAAGAAAGAAAAGTATGTCTTTGTGCCCCCTTTTCCCTGTTAATGCCCTATCGGCCCCCCTGGCTAAACTTTGGTAGATCCTCCCCTGCACAGTTACCAGCGTCAGCTACGTAGAAAAGGATCCTCGAGTAGAAAGTAATATTAAATAAATTCTAACAACAGCTTATCAAGCTTAAACGTGCTGCTGATGTTCAGCCGCTGGTTTCCTCTTTCTGGTGCAAAGTGGGCCAAAAACAAACAAGACAGACGGACTCGCAACAGAAAAGCCGATCAGCTGATCATTAAGCAGTTTCATGATGCAGCAGGAGAGGGAGGGAGAGAGAGAGAGAAGAGGCAGTCGCTCTATATATCGGTTGTTAAGCGTAACGCGGGAAAGCTTTACAAACATTCAGAGATGAACTTACACACTTGCTTTACTTCTCTCTGGGATAACTTTCTGGAGATGAAATGCTGGTTTGGTAGCGAGGCTACAAACACACACAGCTGCTCTATCACGTGATGCACACTGCTCCGACGCGCTACGGTTATGAGCCGAGTTACACCATGTTGCAAGTTTTGTGAGGTGCTTTTTTGATATTTAATGGATTGGATTATATTTTTTATTTCTCTCCGATATCCGATCCAGTAATTTACGTCAGTATTGGACCGATACCGATACGTAATATTGGAGTATAGAGGGAAGGAAGAGGGAGGCAGATGCATACAGGCAGGCGAGTGTGGAAGGTGCTGTTGGTCTTTACTGAACATCCAGGTGTGTGACAAGCGTAATGACAGTGTGACTTAGGAGGATGATCCAGAGGGAAGCAGGGCCACACTGCTCTGAACAGGGAATCACCCTCTGTGTCTTTCACATCTCCAGTTCATCTCATGTGACAGTTTTATCATCCTCTGCACAGCTTCATTATTCTAGATCCAGTTTCGAACCTCCCGTCTTGTCTCTTCCTGTTTCTCACTTGGCCCTCCGCTCAGTCGTACTCAGTTGCTTCTGCTTCTCCCCATCCTCCCAATCCTCCCGTCTGTTTCTCACATCCTCCCACACTCTGTCAGCATTGTACCTTCTCCAACCTCTCTCCAGCCTCCTGAAGATTTTATGATTTTGCTTAATGATAGATGAGCCGCACTTGATAGCATATACTTGACTGTTATGCCTTCCTTCCTTTTCTGAGTCTGTGTACATGTGTTCCAGTGCAGTGTTGTGGCTGGATGTAGGTACAGATCAGGTCAGGGCCCCAAGCGTCGCTCTCTATTGAAGATGTTTGTGGAGTTGAGTTGGACATATGAGAAGAGACATGTTGAATAATAGAGTTTATTTTAGATGCATTGGCGATAAAGTAGAATGCATAAAGAGGCCACCTGTCTGTAGGACACTGAAAGCCGAATTAAGATAAACATTCGGCTCTGTGCAGTGTCTGAAAGCCCCCAGGCTGTGGGCAGCATGATATCTTTCATTGAGTACAAGAGTTGCATTTGAACCAGAAACGGAAATGAAAAATTAGATAAATCTTTTGAAAAAGTTTGATAACTCGATCGTGTGAAAATGCACATTTGCATTGCATTTCTTCTCTAGATAGATAGATAGATAGATAGATAGATAGATAGATAGATAGATAGATAGATAGATAGATAGATAGATAGATAGATAGATAGATAGATAGATAGATTAGACAGCATTTTCATGTATGCATAATAATTCTGCTCTCTTTTTGGTCTTGGTTTACTGCAATGTGGGCCATTTTCAGTGACCTGTTTTGTCTAGACATGAGGAAGCTAAAATTCATTGTGTCCTCTTTCAACTCTGGAAACATCTGTTCGAAGGTTTTTCAGACTACTCTCTTAAATATTTATAAGGTTGCATTAAAAAACTCCACATGGACTAAAGTTTTGACCCAGAGAATCTTTGTTTTGTTTTTTTCATTTAACACTTAATTTAATCAAATGTTTTAACGTTTTCATTTTTAAAGATTTTTTTGTATAAGCTCTCTCTGGAGTTCTGTAAAAATCTTTTTATACTGCTGTTTTTCTCTGTAAAAATCATGTTCAAAACTCAGATTTTTATGAGAAAGTCTGTGACAGCTGCTCTG